ACAGAATGTGCGTTGCAACTTAAAAGGAATGCAAAAAATTCCAAACCTATTGAAAAATCTTGCGATTATTGTGATCTCGTTCCGAACCATTCCATGAGACCGTCATCATAGGACGGGTCTCCCATCATTCTAATTGAGCTCAAGCGATTAGAACAAGTGCACATGTGAGAGATCTCATAGAGTTCAAAGACGACAAATGATACGAGTTACACGAAAAAGTACATATCAGTTGTTTTTAATCTCATAATGTAATACATTGTATAAAATTGGGAGAATATCTCCATTGATGAGATACCCTAAGGGTCTCCCACCAATATAATACTACTATTTTTACTATATTTTAATTGCAGAGACTCATTTTTTAATGTCACCTCCATTTTAGTTGAGAAATTTCAAAAAATGCCACTTTTTAAGTGCCACTTTACAAAAACGCCACATTTTTAAAATCTTTACAAAAATACCACTTTTCAAGATTATTTTTTCTTTATATCATTTATGTTTGAGTTAATTATGTTTTAGTAGGCTTTAATTATGAGGGTTTTAGGGGTCAAAACATTTTTTAGGGTTTAGAATTTTAAGATATAGGCTTTATAAATATATAATTAGTGGCATTTTTGCAAATGGGTACCCNTAAGTGGCATTCTTGCAAATGTGCACACAAAAAANGGTATTTTTGTAATTGCCCCAATTTAGTTAGATATCTAATGAGTATCTCATCAACAAAATATTAGTATTTCTAATATTATTTAATTAAAAATTTTATGCTAAAATTTTATTAATATTTTTAAACATATCATATTCCATTTTAAAATATACTTTTTAATTTTAAAAATCTCAAATTTTTTTAATTACTATAAAATTGTACTAAGTAAAATAATATTAGTTATATATATATTGTAGAGAAATTTCAAAAAATGCCACTTTTCAAGTGTCACTTTACAAAAATGCCACACTTTTAAAATCTTTACAAAAATGCCACTTTTCAACATTATTTTTTCTTTATATTATTTATGTTTGGGTTAATTATGTTCTATTAGGGTTTAGTTTTGAGTGTTTAGGAGGTTTTAGGTGTCAAAACATTTTTTAGGATATAGGTTTTATAAATCTATAATTAGT